ATGATATCTATCATCATTGTTTGAAAATAACATGCATTTCAGTCAGTTGCGGCATGGAGAAAGGAATGGAAGAGCAGGCGTTGAAAGCATCTGCTTTTGATGCTGAAGGGGGGAGAATGGGCCTGGGATGTACATGGACTTCTGCTTTCCTGGTCTGCAGGTGTCCCTTGGACTGGCTGGTCAGAGAGATTGTATAATTATCACTTCAGTATCCAGCACTATCTATATAATTATTTTCTTTTCTGGAAGAGTAAAATATCCCTTAGGAGCTAGTTAACATTTTATTTCTATGTTTAGTGTTCCATTTGTGAAGAGTGTGCTGGTGTCTCCTGTTTTTTTTTTTTTTCCTTTTTTTTTTTTTTCACCTGAAATTTCCTTCTTGCTTGCAGTTCTTGTTAGCTGCATGCAAAGCCAATATGTTCAGATCATTCAGAATACATTTAGAAAGAAGAAGCAACTGACTTGTTTTTTTAATGTACATTTACAACAGTGTTTTGTACTTTAATGTGTTCTTTAAGGCTCTAGGAACATCTCAGGGTTTGAATCTGGCATTTTACACTGTTGTCTGCTTTTTCTTGAACAGTTAATTTAGTTTTCGGCTTTCTGTGGTTCTGTCTTTGTCTTTTTCTATTTTGAGTAAAAATCTTCTGCGTCAGTGCATTCTTGCATTTTCATACCATTAATATATTGAAAAATTAAAAATAAGTAGCTATGTTTAGCCATATACTCCTGCTGCTTTCGTCTTGGTCAGTGATGCTTGCAAGAGTGAGAAAGAGTGTACGTGCAATGGCCTGGGTTGAAAAGGACCTCAAAAAGATGATGTAGTTCCAACCCCCCTGCTATGTGCAGGGTCACCAACCAGCAGACCAGGCTGCCCAGAGCCACATCCAGCCTGGCCTTGAATGCCTCCAGGGATGGGGCATCCACAGCCTCCTTGGGCAACCTGTTCCAGTGCGTCACCACCCTCTGTGTGAAAAACTTCCTCCTAAGACATTGTTTTCTTTATAAGCTGTTCAGAAAAGCTGTGCTAAGTTTTTTCCCTTAAAAAATGTTCAATAGTGTTTGAGTACAAATTATTACAACCAAAGTAGTAAAGTTTTTTGTTGTTGTTGTTTTGTGATAGATGAAACAGAGATAACATTCCCTACCTTCTCCTTTATGAAGTAGAACTGTAGGATGTTATCAGTGACTCCTGTGTATCATACCTCAAATTCTGGTCTTATCTGTTGGATTATTTTTTTTCTTACAGAATACTCCCAAATCTAGAGGCTTTTCTTCATGAAAAGGAATCATGTTCTTAATAGTCAAAGTAGGCATTTGCTTTATTGTGTTATTTTTTTGTTCGGTGGGGGAAAAAAAACAGTACTCTGCAGAAATGTAATGAAAAGATCTCACAAAAGAGGGAAAAAGTGAATCCAGTTCCTTCCCCTTTGAAGTAATAAGTAGTGAGCATACAGGGATTTGGTAGTGGTGTGGTTTTTTTTTTTTGGTGGTGGGATTTTTTTTGTTATTTGTAAAGTGCTAAGAATTTTTTTTTCTCTCCTAAACAATAGGAATGTTATGCAAGCATTTTCCTAGTTGATAAATACGTAGAAGTATGTGTTGTATCTAAATTGTATTTAATCTTGCCCTAGGAAATGATTGTTGAATTTGTGGAATCAGAATTTCCACAGTAACGGGCTCTGATGTCATAAAAGTTGTTTCATAACCATCTTGTTAGAAGTGTTGGCCATGTGTGTTGCTTAGGTTTGCTTTTAATCAGGCAGCTGGCATATCGTGTGGGCATTATTGTTTATATGTATCTATATATAAATATAGATATATTATATTATATAAATTATATTATATAAAAATATATATATTTTTTTTCCATCTCAAACCGTAGCTTCTTTTCCTGAAGCCATTCCTGAATTTGTTTCCTGCTTCTGCTCAGACAGCCATACTGCAGAGCAGCTGCAGGTGATGGTTTTGCCATGTTCTTAAATTCTTCACGTTTCCCTTTCCACGCAGCCTTGAACAAATGGAAGGAAGCATACGATGCTGTGTAGCAATCTTCCTTATAATTTCACAATCTTTCTCCCTCTTGTTAATTTGTCAAAACTAGTGGTCTTCAAGGCTGGTTTCATTGAGTATGCTTATTTCCTCCACATTGTATTGATTTATAACAATACTTAGGAATCTGGGTTTTGTTTTTATTTACCTTATTTACAACTTCTGCAGAATTCTCAGTGTACCAGAATGATTTAAATTCGTTGCACAGGTGGTGTCGTAGCTGACCTTTATAGTTACAGAGCCACTGAAATGAGATCTTTAGATTACTCATTCAAAGAAGCCATATGTGGATGCATATAGTTGTGACCTCCCCATTTGAAAATGCTTTCATCTCTTGCTGAATCTGTTAATTCAGCTAACAAATAATTTATTATCTGTGCTGGTAGATACTTGTTATTTATAAAAATGATTTCAGGTGGGTTTGATCAGCAAGAAGGTTTCTCAGCCAGGACTGAAACTGGGTAAATCCATTTGTATGGTGACTCCTCTTGGCTCAGGTGTTCCACCAGGGATGGAGAGCAAAGGGTGCTCTTGCTTTTGTTTTTTGTTTCATTTGGTGAGAATGTGCTAGAAGAAAGTTGAAAATTCATATGAAATAACCAGCCCCAGTATGAGTGCACTTAAGTGTAGTTGTTTTCCTGGCAATGTTGCTTGTCGGTTAGAGATCATCTGAGGCTGTGTGCTTGATGGCATAGCTAGATTGCTCCAGCAGTTAACTGTTACTTCAAGAGGAAGTTCTGTTTCGTAGCTTTGGTGTTCTGTGCCTTTCCTTCTGCTGACAGCAGGGTCAGCAAGATGCTCGAGCTGTATTTTCAGAGCATGTTTTAAGACAGGACAAACCTGCCTCGCTGAGGGCTGGGCAGAGTTCTGTGAAAGGCATGGACACAGCTTTTGGTATCCCTACTTTATATAATGTTTCAGAAGCTTCTCGTGCATCTTCTAATGTGCGTTTATTTGAGAAGGGGCAGGGAGAGTGTCAAGGGTCCCTGGATGCCTAGTTGTTAAAATGTGTATGTTTATAATTTCCTTGAAGATGCTGTATGGGAAAATCCTGTTATATTTGTTCACGAAGTTAAATTCCCCTAAAATACCAGTAGTTAAAGAAATAAACTCTCTCCAAATTCTTCTCCAATAAATCTTGTATATTGACAGTTCTGGTAGTGGCTTCTTTATGCTCTGTGCAGTGACTGAATTATAAAGACAAAACATTTGTTTCAGAAAATGTCAAAGTGTGAGTATTCTCTTCAGCGACTACCGCAGCTATGGCACATCGTTGGAAAATGGAAGTCCTATCTACAAATTGTAATTGTGACAGTAGCGTTAGAGGCAGCAGCAATAATTGTGTTAGATTTGCACAATCCAGAGATAAGACCAAAAAGTGGGGAGAGAAATTGAGGCACAAAACCCCGAAGATTAAATATAACTGCAATTGCAGATGGTTCAGTGGATAAACCTGAATGCTGAGAATTGACTCAAACATGTAATAATTTTAAGAAATTCAATTCAAGCTTGTATGCCTTGGTTTGGATTCTAGGGATAATTTTCTTTAGACTGAGAGTTGGCTGACTTCAGTAGGTATTTTTAGTGGTGGGAGTAAAAGTAAAGGAGCAGTACCTCTGATGAATCGTCAACAAAATCAGTCTTTTTAGATCACTTTGGTAGGGCAGAATTTGCAGCATTAATGAAAAATATGAACTGGTGTTTTCTTAACTATTTGACAGTATTTCCTCTTCATGCTGTTGGAATTTCTCATTTTGAGTATTAATACAAGTTTTTAATGAAGTAAATCACAGATACGGTCGGAATGATTTACAAGTTGGACTACTGCAGGGATAGTTGGCGTGCTGCCTCTGCCTTCCTGCTGTCCCCCAGTTACTTACAGTTTTAATAAGATGACTTAAGTTGCCATTTCATGTTAAATATTAAAGTCTCTTGATTGTGGTAGTATATTAAAGTCAAGCAGTTCATCACGGCAGCTGCACTGGAAGTTTAGGCCATGAGTTGGTGGAAAGTTGGGATTAGCCAACTGGAGTTGGAATTCACTGGAATTCTGACAAGTTTTTGAGAGCTTTGAAGGTCTGTCGGTGCAAAGGACCTTCACTCACTTCATCCCACCCATTTAAGTTTGTTCACCTACTTCACCTTAATGGCTAGCATGTTCAAAATCAAGAAACTGATGGGAAGTTCAAGAAGTTGAAAGAATTTATCTTTTCCCAACCTGTCAGTGGGGTCATGAGGTAAGAGTAGGAGAGGTCAAAGATCATGACTGTTGTGATGAATAGAAGATAATAGTTTTATGAAAGTCTACCTTTGCTGGGCAGAACGTATTTTGTGAGTGCTGCTTAGAAACTTGTAGGACCACTTCTCTCAAAATTCTTTTCTGTTGGATTCAGGGTTTCTAACTTCAGTGATACTTAGTCTGAAGTGACTATGTAGTAAATGGAAGGTAGTAAACAGTGCGTTTTATGACATGACAGCGGTATGTGAAGAGTCAGATCTTTGAAAACGCATGCTAGACTACATGAATTGTCCAAAAAAACACGTTGAGGTACTGTGTTGTTCAGTTTAGCAAAAACTCGTTAAATGCTTAGGATGATGAAAAGTGATTCCTTTAGGAATAAAAGTCAGAAGCAATAAGAATAAAATGACTGATTATTTTCAATGACTTTCAAGGTATGGAAATTTGTGTTTGGGAGAGCAAACGTTTCTGAAGTTGACAGATCTTCAGTTGTTTGTTTGCTTTTGGTGCTCATTAGAAGATTTGAATTTCTGAAACTGCTCTGTCTTAAATGCTACATTTTATGTTTGATAAACAATGCTAACTGCAAGTTATTTAGATGATGGGCTTCTTCCATTGGAGAGCAACAAGATGCGTTATTGCTCAGAAAATGTACTATTTGCTTTAGTTAAATACAAGATTTTGACAACCTTTTATTTCTTTTTCTCAGGCTGTTCGCTGCTATGAATCGCTAATTTTGAAAGCTGAAGGAAAGGTCGAGTCTGATTTCTTTTGTCAGTTAGGTCACTTCAACCTCTTATTGGAAGATTATCCAAAAGGTAAGGTGGTTTGTTTATTTACTTATCTATTTATTAGCATTTCCAATATTGGCTGATATAATAGAATACAAAACATTTGGGTAATTCACTGTTTTCATGGCTTGTACTATATTTCAGAGCCTGTAGCATAGTAAGACTGATGAAAAACACAGTTGTATTTTAACTTACTAGCCATTTCTAAATTGAGTTCTAATTGGGGAAAGAAAAAAAAAAAAAGCACAATACACTTCTCGTTCAGATATGAGTATGAAGTTTATTTAGTTTATATATTAGTGCCACACTGCTTGTTTCATTTTTCTGGTCTACTACGTGACCATACAGAGTTGAACCTGTACCTTGAAAGGGTTCTTAATTGAAATGGGAAACTCGGAAACTTCAGAAGGTAACAGTTTCAAGAGGCAGAGTTGTGTAGAATGAGTGCCTTAGACTGGGTTTGTGCTTTCGTGTTTGTTTGCAGTCTCAGTAGATCATACAAGGCTGAAAAATGCTAATTGAAGAGAAAAAGATGGCATTTAATGCGTGTTTCATGTTCTGTTTTAAATACTGAGTGGGAGTATGGAACTGTGATTTTATTTGGGGTAGGTGTTGGTTTCTTAGGTCTATTTCATCAGGCTTTCCAATTATTAAAAAGTGTTTGGTTTTTTTTAAGCCATTATTTCAGCCAGTGCTCATAGAAATTTATAAACGCTTGCTCTTCATTGCATGGAGGTCAGTAGGCTGCTTTTATGGTCGTGCTGATGATTGCAGAGTATAACCTGCTGTGTTGCTGACTGAGATATAAGGGCAAGATCTTCAGGTTGTGCTATTGTGTGTTCATTCCAGGCTGCGTATCAGCTCAGTGTCTGATTGCTGCCAACCTTCCAGTGATTGTGGAGTGTATAGAAGTGCATTGCATAATAAAGTGTGAATAAGTTTTATTTCATTCTGTTACTCTTAATTATTAAACATACTAACTGCAATTATGGTTAATTTTGTAAATGCTTGGGATCTGAGAAGTACAGGCAATTCAGACATGTTTAGATTGTACTGATATGTATAACATCCAATTTTAAAGTCCTGAGAAGTTCCAGGAGCATGAAATGCTGAAGCAGGGTGGTCTTCAGAACTGCAAGGTGTCTAGGATGGAATTAGCCTTGGATAAAGTTGTGGAGAAGATGATGAAGGATGTAATTACTTAAAAGCAGCATGACTAATGTTGTTCTGCTCATGAAGAAGTGAAATTACTTCTGACAGGTTCTTGGCATTACCAGGCAAAGTATTCCCAAGTAGGCCAACAGTCACATACAGGAAGAGCAGAACTCAGCCAACTGGTGAAGGGCTCTCCAGCACTACAGCACTCACTGTTGGGAAGCAGCTTAGATCCCTGAGATGCTCTTCCTTCAGTGCTGGCCCTTATATGAGCCCAGAGTGGCTCTACCCTGGATCCACCCCTTGTGGTCAGATGGGGAGCACCATGTGCACACAATGGCATGTGTTTTCCTGGGCCAGTCACAATCCCTTCACCAGGTGTCCAGTCATCAGTTCAAGCCCTGACCTAACAGGTCCTGACAAACGTATATATATTTTTCCCTTGGATGCCTATTCGTTTTATTAACTACCTTCAAATGTATGCACTTGTGCATATAGTGAAGGAGGGTATGTCATTATTAAAGGCATAGCATCCTTTGTGTAAAAACATTGGCAGTGTAGTTTGCACAAAGTAGATCAAAATTGTTAATTGATTGCAAAAGTAGAAAACGTGCTCAAGATGAAGCAGTTCTGGGTTGATAGAGGTCTGTTGAAAGCTTCATGTTGTTTTCTTCTGATTTGATCTCTCACAAATATTTTGACAAATGTGGATCATTCAGTTAGATACAGCTCTGTGTGTGTTACTGTTTTTAAATTGCCAGCTATTTTGTAGCAACAAAGACCATCAATGGCTTCTGGGTAGGAGTTAGGACTTGTGAGATTCATGGCAGATTATTGCAGGTTGTTACAGGAGGCAAAGACTGTCCTGTTAACATTGTATAGAGAATATCAGTTAGGGACAGACAAACTTTGAATGTGGAATAAGTTGATGGCAAATGTCTTGCTGAAGTCTGGGTAAATCTAGCATGTGTTTTTATTTCATTAGTAGAAAACCCATCAAACCTGTTCTTTGAAAGTGCATTATGTTTTGGGTCATTTGTGTCCACTGAAGTTCAAATTTAATATTCATTTTCAGTAAAAATAATAATACTAATCTTCAACAAAAGCTGTGAGTTTACATCAGATATTACTGGATGACATCCTTCTTCTCTTTATTATATCTGAAGTCAGACTGCAACTTGTAGTCATGCCAAAATGCAGTGTATTTGAATTGCTGTTGTTAACGAAGAGGTTTTATTTGCAGCCATTGCAATTGAGTTGTCCTGTTGATTTTACTCAGCTGTTAGGAGAAGGTGCTATAGGCAAGAAGGTGTCAACTGTTAGCAGATTTTGAAATACTGTGAGCTACTAGCTTGGGTTTTCAGACAGTGGCAAGTAGGGCAGATTGATTCAGCTTAGCATATATGTTGCAAGGTGGTTTGTGTGTCTGGCTTTTGTTTTTCTGATCATTGCTGGGGAGAACTGGCTTCAGGTGTATCTGAAACAAGAACATTAATTCCTCCAAGTGAAAACTTGTTCTTATTTATTTAATATTAAGGTGATGTCTTCACTACCCAATAGGAAATTATTCACCAGTGCTTTGATCGTTTCAGAGGCTTCCATTGTTCCCTGGCTGTGTCTTAAGTGACATCATCCATCTGCTTGTTGCTTCTCTCTGTGTTCTGCTGGCACAGTTCAATTTGCAGCTGTGTGGGGAACTGATCCAACTAAAAATAACCTAGCAGGAAAAAACGATGTGCTTGCCCCACAATGTGGAAACTCAGCCTCAGGTTTTGCCTAAGGAGGCTAATGAGTGATGATGTAGGCTGCTGGACACAGCAGTATTGTGCATCCAGCTAAGACTGTCATATTTTTTTTTTGCTGCTTCATTCCTTGAGAGAGCTGGAATTTTACCAAAAGTAGGATGTTTCTGGTCTTAGAGGAAACTGGTGCTGCATTAGTAGTTGGAGATGATTCCTTAAGGAATGGTTTCCATAAGGAGTAGAGTGTAAATGATCATTTTAAAGGTTTTAATTCCAGTTGAAGGCTCTTTGAGTTCATGGACTCTGAAATCATCAATGTTTTCCTTGAGATTCCTTATTTTATGGAAGGTTCATCTATAGTGGCAGTGTTCCTGCCTATCACATGGAGGACAGCTATCACTTGCACACATGGAGCATGCTTTTAGCATCAGCCATGAGATAATAGGGAAAAATGTGCAATTACTCACATCATTGTTAGAAAAACACAGTAAATAATGCACTGAAATAATTGGTAGTGCTGCACTCAAGAGTGATCACGTTTTTGATGTGCTATGCCAGTGTAGTTTGAATAATTGTTCATAGATACGGACTGCATTGTCAGAAGTACTAATAAGGAATATTCTAAGTAATTTTTATGACAATATTAATTAGTTCAAGAGCATTTTAATCGGCATGCAAAATACTTCCTACTAATTTATTGATAAACAGACTAAACCTGGAATTTAAACACTCCAACCATTCTTATGTATAGTTGTTGTAAGAATGATCCCCAGCTTCAACAACGTGCCTGCATTTGTTTGTTCTTAGAGTTAAAGCTTTATAGGGAATTTGTATCTTGTTAATGTGTTAGACTTCCAGAACTTTTAAGAAACCATTTCATTGTGCTGTACTCTGAGGTAATTGAATAGTAAGCATGATTGTATGAGCATAAGAGAGCAGTTCCTGGCATAGGTGGAATGGTGCGGGTTGCTTCTGGGTTGGCTTTTGTTGAGTCCCAGAAGAACTAGGAAGCAGATTAAGTAGGATAGAATCTGACTGAACTGAGAAGGAAGTGTCAGTGTTTCAGTGAGTGAGTGTGTGTTTACAGTTTTTTTTTCTGTTGCTGTTTGTAATTATTAATAATAGTCTGAAAACAGGTTGCCTCTATTTAAAGCTGTTTATTTCATCTTCAGGATGCTGTCGTTAAATTTCAGGCAGTTTAAACTGCCACATGGAATTCCTGTAGAAAGTAGTAGGAATGTTCTCTGAAGCTTTTGAAATACAGTGCTCTTTATAAATAGTTTCTTGTTTTGTGTGTGTTTTGTTAGTGGTAGAAGATGCATATTACAGGATATAACTGGGCCTTGTTTTTTGACTGAAAAATTTTCATTTTGGGCAGTGTTTGAAATAACAGTTGTTAAAAACCATTTTGTGGAATAAGTTCTTTGAAGGGTTCTGAGCTTCATGTGGTTCCACTGTGTTCTTTCATTGATACGGTATTTTAAGAGCTTTTGTAGAGTAAATATGCTTAACTAGAACTAGTTAATTATCTGAAAGATTTCTGTAATAACAGATTCCTTGTCATGATTAACTTGTGTCTTTAAAGTTTAGTAGTTCTTAGTTTCTTGTGCAGCAAACAGTTGGATATGTTCATAGTACAGTGGCATCCCACCAGTTTGGTGCAGCATTATATTTCCAGCTGCGAATGTTTATTTGTCAGTAACATTACTTTGAGGACTACTTGGTATTTTGTCTTTTGTAAATGTATTGCATTTGTGCGTCTGTATTCATTTTGTGTTAAAAGGAAGACATGCTGTAAACTTCTTTGATCGTGCATGTTTTGGTACTTTCAGCAAAAATCTCTGAAGGAAGCAGAACAGTGTATTCCCTGAGGCCTTGGAACAAAAGACCTGAGTTGCATTTCTCTGCTCAAACTTCCATATTTTCTTTCGTTTTCTTTCTTTTTTAAATTTAATAATTGACTCAACCTTAAAATTTCCTCAGCTTTTGATGTTTTCAATTCTGTAGCCTAGCAGTGTACTTCCTGAATTAAAATGCTGTCGTGGATAAAACTTTGTACAGTGTAATCAGCTGTTTCCATAATCTACAAATATCTCCCACGTGTTTAATGAGCATTATTTTTTTTCCTGG